TAACTGCCATTAATGAATGGGTAATTTTGATAGAGGACTAATAGTAAATAATGAAATCTACTAAATATAGCATAAAGTCTATAATAACTTTGTTATAAATTCAGTTTGAAAATGTACTGAAAATTTCAAATTTAATATATTTTATAGAGAAATAGTAATTAAATAAAATCAAGCTGCTCTAAAACCCTAGATTTTATTAATAAAGTCTGGGCTGTCAGAGGTGATGTTGAATTAAAGCACTGCGGATACTCATCTCATGTGGAGCACGCAGTGGCTACCACATCATGGTTTTAATTTGGTGGTTAGAGGGATATACGTGTAGTGATATTCTCATAGCTTAAAAGTAAGCTCTTGTTAGGTTTAAAATATGATTTCCAAATCTTTGGAAAAGATACAAACAGGCAAACTTAACATGTTAACAAAAAATGTGAAATACACAGACTTACTGAAAAAACATAAAAAACAGTAAATTCTCAAAGACAAGGGAAAATATGTAGGACTTTATATGTACTGTATGATTCTAATTTTTTCAAATTTTATTTCAGAGTATTACGGGAATACAAACGTTTTGGTTACATAAGTTGCCCTTGTACCATTTGAGTCAAAGCCACAAGTGTGCCCATCCCCCAGAGAGCGTGCATTACATCAATTAGGTGTGAATTTGCCCATCTTGCCTCCCTTCTGCCTGATTCTAATTTTAATACATATATGTGCACATGTGCATCTGGATGCTAGAAAAAAGACTGAAAGGAAACGGGCCAAAATATGTTGTTTTTTATAGGAACATATGTTGCTGTTCTATGTAGAGGAAACACAATATATTAACAACAGCAGCAGCAGCAGAAGGCAGGGCTGGCTGTGTAGACAGATAACCCAGCACGTTGCTGGGGCAAACCCCAGGCACGATGGTCGGAAGGTGATGATCAGTCGCGTCTCCCCAGAGCTTGGTCGCCAGGAGCCCTACCCAGGCTTGACCTCTCAGTATTTCCTGTCTTCATCAGAGAACAGGGACATGACTCTCTGCTCTTCTCAGCTTAAATTGTAAGAAAGTTGATTCTTCCAGTGATATTTTACCTTACTGGGCATATGACTTTCCAGTGGAGGGAATTAGGAGTGGAAAGCACACGCGTGCAGGGCACACGGCCAGTCCTGCCCCAGGGCCCACTTCCTCCTCGGCGTGGCAGGCACAGGGCCCAGGGCCCACAAGAGGCTTAAGGGGCCATGAAAATGTTTAAATTATAATTTCTTTTAATATCAGAAGAAAAGTGAATATAATAAAGAGAAATATATAATATTGAATTCAGCCTGTTTATTTGTCTTTACATCAACACTGTCATATGATGTAAATTTTAATATTTTTTATACAGGAAGAGGCCCACAAAAGCAAAATGCACAAGGCTCATGGAAGTTACAATGTGGTCCTGCCATGAACTCATGGCACCTTGAGCTTATTGCACCCCTGAATGCATAGTAACCTTAAGTTCATTGCATCCCTGACATCAAAGCACCCCTAAACTCACAACACACTATTTTTTACCCTGTCCTGCTTCAATCAGTAACTTGAAGGGACCTCAGTCACAAGGTAGTATTTAAATATCTAATCAATGGCAGAAAATGTCATATTCATGGGTAAACTGATGTTACTGATCTATACAAATAATATTGTCTTCTATTTTTATGTGAGAATAAAATTTTGACATTTTTACGGTACATTGTATTATACAATAAAATGCATACAGGTGAATGATCACAGAGAGGCCTGGATTCAGGAGTCAGAAGAATTTGACCCAGGATCTAATACTTATTTGTTATTAAATTTTAGGATTATTACTAAACTTATCTAAGGCTCAGTTTTCTTATCTGCAAAATGAGGACAATATTTATTTTTAGAGTTTTCAATTTTTTATGTGGTTAAAATTAAACAAATGCAAAGTTCTGGCACTTGTCTGGCATATAGCATTCAATCAGTATATGGCTGCACAGTAGATCATTTAACATAAATATCTGGACCTGACTTGTTTCAAATTAATGATAATTCCACAGTGTATATATCTTAATGTGAAATGGCTACGATGACTAGAAAGCAAAAGACAATTGCCCAAGGGATGTGTTTAATAATGTGAGACACATAATTTGGTAGGAAATGAATGAATTAGGAAGATTTATATGGCTTACAAAATGATACATTTTTATAAATGTATCATACATAACAATTATAGCACCTACTAAATTTTAATAACCATTTTGCATAAATCAGACACATCTGGGTTTACTTAAAATGGAAAAAGCAATCCAGTATTAAAAAGCCAAAATATATGTTGCCATACTTTTGTTTAATCATCATTCCTGGATCAACACATAATTATTGAGCATCTACCTTATGCTTCCCATCACTGAGAATTCATACAGAATGACACAAAGTTTGTCCTCTCAGGGACTTCACATTCTCCTGAAAGAGAAAACCAACAAGGAAAGAAGAAGTGCATAATAGTGGTGTGTTTGTGGATGCTCATTACATTATTTTGCTTTATAACCATCATATATTATTGCAGATAGTATTAACTGCTAGGGAGGAAAATAAATCTAGGCTAATGGTATAGTTAGTAGTAGGGATGGAGCTCTGGCAGAGGGAGGTGGGTTTTCTTTTCTTTTCTTTCTTTTTTTTTTTTTTTTTTTTGACAGAGTCTCACTCTATTGTCCAGGCTAGAGTGCTGTGGCATCAGCCTAGCTCACAGCAACCTCACACTCCTGGGCTCAAGCAATCCTGCTGCCTCAGTCTCCCGAGTAGCTGGGACTACAGGCATGTGCCTCCATGCCCAGCTCATTTTTTCTATATATTTTTAGTTGGCCAATTAATTTGTTTTTATCTTTAGTAGAGACGGGGTCTTGCTCTTGCTCAGGCTGATTTCGAACTCCTGACCTTGAGCGATCCACCCGCTTTGCCTCTCAGAGTGCCAGGATTACAGGCGTGAGCCGCCACTCCTGGCCAGGAGGTGGGTTTTTTCAATGTATGCAGAGAACACAAACCACACTACCCACTCTTTGCCCCCACGGCTAATACTGAACACGAAGTCGGAGGCACACTGTAGGCTCTCCATATAAACTTGCTAAGTCAATGTTACCGTTATCATAAAAATGTCTAGTATGACTGACATGCTTTGATATTCTCTAATAATTTTTTGATATTTGCCTTAAGGTATATTTCTCTTGCCCAGAAAGCCCTCAATTATTATTGAAATTAAAATGTTATGTCAGCATAGGAGCTAATTTGATTTTATTTGCTCCTGTTGCAATGATGCGTAAGCACACTTGGAAGAGGAATTCTGGTCAACTGATATCTTGGTTGACAAGTAGTCATCAGATGTCAGATTTTAGCAACGTGGATGCTCAATTTTAGAAAATTGAAATACAAGAAAATAGACTTGATGTTGAAATTTCACTGAACATAATCCAATCATTGATGATTCAGAGGCATCTTAGGACCTTGTGGCGTCTCCCTGTGAATATCACTTGACTCCCTCATGTGCCAATTGCCGTGATAGGGAGTCATGGTGACTTTCATGATGGAGAGAGATGGCATGAAAACATGTGGAGCATAATAAGGAATTTTATTGGCAGTAGGACAGTGGATAATCATGTATCTACCACAAAGTTGTGAAATAAGTTCCACACGATATGAAAACACTGCAGTGGAAAGTTGAAAAGGGAAAACTGAACAGAAAAAGGCACTGTGACATTGGAGACCACAGTGTCACTTTTCCCCAGAGGTTCTCGTATCGTTGGCTTTGTAAGCAGGATTGTGGCCTCGAGGGCCACTGCTCACACCTTCCCAGGCGCGGTAGCAGAGGGGCTGAGCAGGCAGGAAAGTGAGGGGGCACACCCCCGGCCCCACACGCATATCCGAGGTCAGCCATGGTGATCATGTGGTGCCCAGGTGGCCTTTGTCTAATGCCACGCCAGCCGTGTGTGTTTCCTTCAGCCCTGAATCCAGCCCCATCACCAATCTCTTTTTTTTTTTTATTTCGGCATATGATGGGGGTACAGATTTTAAGGTTTCAATAAATGCCCTTTCCCCCCTCCCCCACAAATCTGAGTCTCCAGCATGACCATCCCCCAGATGGTGCACATGTCACTCATTATGTATGTATATACTCGTGTCCCCCTCCCCCCTCCCACCTGCCCAATACCCTATTACTGCAGTACCTATGTGTCCACTTAGGTGCTGCTCAGTTAATACCAGTTTGCTGGTGAGTACATGTGGTGCTTGTTTTTCCATTCTTGGGATACTTCACTTAGTAGTATGGGTTCCAGCTCTAACCAGGAAAATATAAGATGTGCTATGTCACTGTTGTTTCTTAGAGCTGAATAGTACTCCATGGTATACATACACCACATTTTATTAATCCATTCTTGGATTGATGGGCTCTTGGGCTGTTTCCACAGCCTTGCAATTATGAATTGTGCTGCTATAAACATTCGAGTGCAGGTGTCTTTTTTGTAGAGTGTCACTGGATCTTTTGGGTAGATGCCCAGTAATGGGATTGCTGGGCCAATCCCTTCTTGATTTTTCATCTCCAGCTCACTTGTGCCAGACACAGCCTCACACACACACACCACTCCAAAACTTGCTTCAAGAGAGAATTTAATCGGAAACCCTTCACTCTTTGGAGCAACATGGGTGAATCTGTGCTGTCTTCTTTTCTGTGGTATATTTGCCTTTTGGTCCTCACCTTTAATTTGTCTAGGAGAGCTATGTTTCTTGTTAGAAGGTTTGTGAAATTAACTGGGAAAAGTGTCCCTCCCCCGCCCCCTCAGGGATGAGGGTTAACCCCAGTGCTATTTATCATCATCATCATCATCAAAGCTCTTACACCATCCTCTCCAATACCCTAAAATGGCAACAATGAACTGTCAACACTTCACCGGCTGGTGAGGCTCTGTGTGGCTCCCTCACAAAGAATATTCTAGGCCCCCCTTCTAGCTCTGGCATCCTGCGGTTCTATGACGTCATGGAGCGGGTTCCTGTAATCTTACTGTATCCGATCCGCAGCCATAATTACTTATTTCCACAGGTGAGCTGTGCAGTTTGGTTTCCTCCGCCCAGAGCTGGGCCGCAGGCGGGCACCTGGGACGTGGAGACGCGCCCCGCGCAAAGCAGAGCCGGCGGGGACGCGCAGGCAGTCCACATGCTCCGGGCAGGGCCAAAGACCCTGCGGAAACCGAACGACAAAGGCAGTCACGCAAATCTGCCTCCATGCCACGTTAACATAGAATTTTTTGTCTAAAATTGTGCCCCTCGGGGCGTCAGCTTTGAAATAGCCGCGACGTCCGGGTGTGACGGCGGCCAGCAGGTGGCACTGTCGCTTTAGGATTCCAGCTCCCGAGTCGGGCGACAACAAGGGAAAACTGCAGGCACGTTTTAAAATGTATTTATATATTTTTTTCTCTGCCAAGCCAGAAATGTACTCCATTTTCTTTAATCAGGTTCATTTGCTTCCTACTGTGTGACTTCAATTGGGTAATAGTCGACCAGACGTCTCCCCCCGGCTACTTTCTTTCCCAGAGCAGGTCTGAGATCTGCCCGGGGTTGGGAGCTGACAGCCAAGGCCTGGCAGACAGGACGGGAAGGCTGTGTCCACACGCAGAGCTGGCCTGTCCCTCCCGGTAGCGCCAAGTGGCCTCGTGCAGACATGAGAGCACATCTGGCCTGGGGCACGGCCACCCTGCGGTGGGGGATGGGGTGTCGGCTGCCTGTCTGGGGCCCCAGAGCCCACAGGAGGGAGCCCAGAAGCCAGTGGAAGTTGGGGTGACAGGGGAGGGAGCCGCAGCTGAGCAGCTCCGGCAACACCTTCGTTTCCTCCTGGTGAGCGGACAAGGAGCATTTATGCTGCTAGACATTCATGCATTCACTCATTCATTCATCAAATACTTATTAACCTCCCATGTTCCCAAAACTCCATTTTATTCATGGTGTCAGCCAGGGTCCAGCCAGGAACAGAAACCACACCAGTTATCTGAACAGGTAGAACTTAATATAAAGAATTGTAAACTATGCTTAACGGTGTTGTTAGCTGGGGAACTAAACTATAAAAAGACAAAGGAGAATAGCAGTACCAGCCAGGTGGTAATAGCAGGGAGCCACTGTCCCCTCCCCCACCCTCACCCCCTGTGGCTGGAGATACCAGGACCTGAAAGCTCAGGGGGCCACAGTGCCAGGCAGCTCCTCCCTGAGTGCCTGTTCTGCAAGTGTTAGGGTCACTGTACGCTGCGATTCGCTGCTGCTGTGGAGAGGCACTGCCACTCTCTGGACAGAGGTTTTGCTAGGGGACCCTCAAAGATGGAGAAAGGACAGGAAGATCAAGTCCCTTCCTTGCTCCTCCCTCCTTGCCAGCTCGTTCTGGCCCTTTCCACTGGCAAAGTCTGATGGGGAGCTGAAGGCACAGCAGGGATGTGCAGGGTGCAGAGGGCGGGTTTGGAGCCCAGAGACAATGGCTGAGTCTCTGGCACATTCACAGAGCTGGCTTCATTCTCACCCCCGCTGGGCTCTGCCCAGACCCCCAGTGGGAGGAAACAGAGCCAGGAGACTCAAGTGCTGGGCCTGTCACGTGGCCCCCAGCCTGGCAGGGAGAAAAGAGTCAGCCGACTCATTTCCTTTTAATGCTCCAATGTGACGTAAAATTTCACTCAAGGTGCACCGTAACACACTTTTTCCTGTCTTTTGCTAGGAGACTCATAAGAGTCCCCCTATCTACTTTTCACTCCTGCCCCTGTGGCATCCTCATGGTTTCTTGGCATTGTTTTACTTTTACTCTGTCAACAGAAAAGAACCTAAACTCTGTAAAATAATTTAAAGAGGTTTATTCTAAGCGTAATATATGTGACCATAGCCCGGAGAGCCACGCCCAGGACGCCTTGAGCAAGTGGTTCCACCATGGTGTGGTTACAGTTTGGTTTTCTATATTTTAGAGAGACAGAAATTACATGTAAATTCATAAATCTATACGTGGAAGGTACACATTGCTCTGGCCCAAAAAGGCAGGACATCTCAAAGCGGGGGATTACAGGTTATAGGTGGGTTTGAAGATTCTTTGATTTGTAATTGGTTAAAGAAAGGAAGCGCTGTCTAAAGGGTAAGGATGTTTTAAGTTGAGTAAGTCTGTTAATCAGAGACAAGCCACCTGCCATATAGTGGACATATACCCAGATTCAAGTGATCTGTTAGTGAATTGGTGACCTGCAGGTGTGGTTTAACCTTTGTCTTACATGGCCTTAGGCTTGTTAATAATTCTGTATCTTATTGTTATAAAAAATAACTCCAAAAGGGACAGGGCATAACTAGGTGTGTCTGACCTCCCTCCTCCTCATGGCCAAAGACTCGGCTTTAAGGTTTTTCTTAGCGGGGGTCCCTGGCCAAGAGGAGGTCCATTCAGTCAGCTGGGTGAGAGGGCTTAAGATTTTATTTTGGTTCACAACCCAAATCCAGGAGGAGGAAAGCATGTCAAAATGTCATTGTGGGTCTTTTGTTAAATATAAATACACATGCTGGATTGAATTAATGCACTTTTAGACTAGACACAGCTACTATACTTTTCAACATAGTAAGGGTAACATCTCTGTTGTCAGATCTAATAAATTTGACACATATTGGCTTTCTCATTTTTAAAAGATGTTTATTATGCATTTTATTTTTAATTCAGGAAAAGTAGAGATGAAAGGGATTGGAGAGGTGTAAGTCCAAAGGAGAGAATAATGGAGATGACTGGATAAGTATTTTGAAGACAGCTTGGTCATTGCCTTTCATCTAGAAAACGTATTGGACAATAAGCCACAGTGGACTAGCACCACTGAGAACTCCACAGTGGCTGAAAGACAGGCAAGTGGGTGATTGGTGAAAGAATACCAAACTAGAAAGATCTAAGGGGAGGTTGTGCTGAGTTTGATCTGTAGGCAATGTATCTTCTTCTGTGTTTTTTCCTGTTTCACAGGCCAGACACTCGGAAAGTGCATTTCTCCCTCTCCTTTGCTTGGAGTGTTCTGCGTACATTTTAAATTATATCAGTGGAATTATTTCATTTGACATTTGGAAGGTGGAAGGGTGACAAGACACCATTTTGTTTTGTCCTCTGGAAGTCCTGGTTGTACTCTCACTGGACATGAGTTATTCAGCAGCCTCAGTTTCCACATCTTGTTTGCATGATGCCTCCAGAAGATCTGTGATCCCTGCAGAGAGTCTGTAGGATCCCGACTCTGGGCAACACCTGCTCTTAACTCCCTGGCAGCGAACCTGACTGTTATGGTGGCCTCTAGAGTTTTGCTCCTTCAGAATCCCTATAGGCTCATAAGTACCTAGTTCCCTTTCTCTAATCCCTTCCTGCTTGATATACCTAGGGTGGGTTTTGCTTTCCTGAGCAAACCCATCCTGATTCAGAGGTATGTGCAAAAAAAGCACATTCCATGGTCAAGTCACATTGTTTAATGGGGTTAGTCTTATTTTACCATGTTTACTAGCTGGACAAATTTCAAGAAGCTCAATAGAGTATTCTCTACATTTCTGGATGACCAAACTTAGAATTGGACAAATATTGAGAGACACAGAAACCTCTTTGCCCTGGTCCAGAATTAAAATATTCTCATAGTGTCTTTAATACACAAAGGAAAGCTCAGGTGCCTTTGAGGAGGACATGGCTCCTTTCTTTGCCAATATGAGCCCAGCAATGCAAATGAGAAATGAGGAGAGGGTCCCCTCCTTCTTTCCGAATGACATTAACTGAGAGTCATTTTTCATGTAGTAGATCTGGCTCAAGTCATTTATGAAATGTGAAATTTCATATTCATTCCTGAAATGAAGATTCATCTCTTTAAAAGCTGTTCACTATACCACTCAAGATGTTAGTGCTCACATGGGATGGATTGAGGTGGCCACATCAATTCTGTCTTCCCAGGGCTCCTGATAATGTAGGAAAAGAATTTAGTCCCTGAGACTAAATTGTTTTGAACAGCACTTGTCACAAATATGTAACTCTTTTTTTTTTCTCTTTGCTCTATTTCCCCCATTTACCTTTTTTTCAGGTTTTAATCTGTTTTAAAGAAGTGTTTCCTCATGAGTTCATAAACATAAAATAGTTGTATAAATTGCAGAGGGTTAAGCACACGCTTTGTTGTCGTGTGTCACTCATGATTTTTTGTATAAGTTCTTTCCACGCACGTATTGAACAGTATAAGGATCCGTCAGGATCATCGGCCACAACAGTGGTCTGGGGACAGGACACTTAGTCCGTCTGGTCCTGGCATTTCTGAGAAAGGACCACACCGAACCATGCAGAGCAAATGTGCAAGGCTGTGGTTCTTTCATTTGGGTGATATATTTTGGTATTGGAGCTAAGAGGCATTAATTGATAATACTTAGCATTTGTTTTACATTATTTGTCTTTGTAAGTGTTGTCACGTAGGCTGTCTTACTGGTTGGTCACAGTAATGCTGTGAGGTAGGTGGAACACGCGTAGCATCCCCTCTTTGACTTCATGGGAAGGAGACAGACGCACTTTCTCTACCGCAGTGAGAGTGAGGTGCTCCTGTTTGGCCAAGACCAGAATCAGTGCAGACTTTTTATCTGCACTTTTGGCATGGCCTTGATATCGTTGGGATAATTAAAGAGTAAGACAGAAAGAAAAATCTTCAAGGAAAGTAGGAACCACACACTAAAAGTCTAAAGAGTGAAGAGAACAATAGGTTTTTCCGATCACTTACAGTTGGGATTCCATATGACTACAACTCTAGCCAGCCTTCACGCTGGTCCTTGATCAAGGACCACAGCCACCAAGAAGCCCTCAGGGACTCTACAAGCCCCTGCAGCACCACAGGGCAGGCTGTGACTGTCGGTATGCTGACACAGGGGGCCCCAGGTTGTTCTCTGAGACTTTGAGTGTTTTGTCTTATCTCCTTGACTAGACGGAAAGGGTGCGGGGAGCAGCAGCTGTGTGCGGGAGGGCCATGCACAGCAACTGTGGCTGTCCCACCTGCTAGCCCAGCTCACGTGAGGCTACTCTGGATACCGCATGGCCCCTTGTGATCCCCTGGTAGACTTCCCTGGGCAAATCCAAGCACAACTCCTTCCCGGAGGGGCAAAGAGTCAACACTGAAGGTAGTCATGCCCCACCACACTTCCTACCACCCCTCACCACCAGCCTCCTCTCTCCAGGGTCTAGCTCTTTAGCCTAGTACAGAAATGTATAAAAGAGGATATGTCCACTTTGTAACTGGGAAGAGAGATGGCCTTAGTGTAAGCTGGCTACAGTGATGCAAATAATGCCATCACCCTCTCTCTCTCTCTCTCTTTCTCTCTAACCCTCCCCCCCACCCCCGACAGCTTGCCTTTATTTATCTCAGTAAGTTGGCTTCTTTCCCCCACTATCACGTGAACAGATCATATCTACTTGGCTTGGGCACTGTTATACCCAGGCTTAGGTCATGTCAAGAGTTGCAACCCCAGAAGACAGACAGCCTTTCACTCCTGCTCAAGTGCATATAATTCCTAGGGAAAGTCTCTCATGGTCCCATCTTGGGTGACTTTTCCCCACCTTGACTAGTCACTGGGTGTGAAGCTGGCGTCAGGATTTTCCAGACAGGTCAGTCAGGTGTTCAGGAACTGTGGCTGATCTTCTGACCAGAAGCAACAGGAGCTAAGAAAATGCAGTTCTTTGAAGTCAACGCATTATTTGTACAGCAGAATTCCTCATGATAATAAAGGAAACAGAGAGAATGAATATTTGACCACACACACACACACACACACACTTCTGCTTAACTCCCACTGGGAAATTTTCCTGGGGCGAGCAGTGGGACTCAGTTCAGAAGTGATCCTTTTTGGCGGAAACAAGCAGGGAGGACTCCTACGTGGCCATTGTCAGCCCTCGGTGATATGTCTGTCTCAAGCCAACATTATCTGTTATTCTGTCTCAGGCATTCTGACACACCTTATCATGCTGAGAGCTAATTGCCCTATTTTCAAACCTGGAACTGTCCCTCTTGTGATATTTTTCCAATTGCAGTGATATATTTGTCTAGCCAGCAAGCTCTGCCAAAGCTATAGCTATTCCGGAGAGTAGTTGGGGTGGAGAGCAGGGGAATTATTCAGCAATGCAGTAAACAAAGGGAAATTCTCTCTGAATAAAAAGTTACGAAGCAATAGCATGCTTTCCTTAAGTAACACATACAATAAAAATTGCTTGCTATCCATTTTTCTAATCTTCATGAAATGAATACACTCAATCATGGAAGTTGTGCAGGAACTGCTTACTTCAAATAATGCCATGAATACATTACAAAAGTAATTAAGCGAGAACTCAAGTGGAGCAGAGCAGCATTCTATACCAACACTTCTTCTTAACTAGCAAAAAGCAAAACAATCCGTAGGCAAGACACAGGAGACAGATAAATATAACAGAAACCAGAACAATAGGCACATGAAAATAAATAAGGACCATTGTAGGAAATTGAGCTGGATCTCACATGTCAAAATCCCCCCAAATATTTGTATCCTTACCCTGGGAGAAGGAATAATAGGTACTCAGTTTAACCTGTACTTTGATTTTATTAATTTATTACCAATAGTTACAGATAAGTGCTATGCATTAATATAAAACATTTTGACAAGAAGTATAGAGAGTACAAGAAAGAATAAAAGCATAAGATATTGACCCTTGTCCTCCAGATGATTAGAGTCTATTTGGTGAGTTATGTCCAGGGTACACATAACTATAAAATTAGGCAAAGTAGGTGACATACTCTATGAGTAAAATGCATACTATTTTCCTCCATAATTTAGAATAAAAAGAAATTAAGGCAAGACTTTTTAGAGGTGTCTGTCATTGGCTTTGGCCTTGAATGTGGACAGGATTCCATTAAGGTGATGCTCAGGGGTGGTGGAGATGGGCTCTGTGCGTGAGAAATGCAGCTGAGTATGAAAGAGGGAGAAAGTTCAGGGAGGAAGTCGAGGAAGTTGAAGCTGCAAAGGGCAATGGTAACAGCATTGTGGGAGCTTCAGGGTGAAGCTTTTTGAGCTTTTGCAGATGAGAAGGGGCCATCAGAATTTTTTGAGATGGGAAATTCCATAGTCAACACAGAGATTCCAGAAAATTATTCTTGTCTTTCATCATGCAGAAGAATATTGTTGTTGGAAAGGAAGAAGCTGGGAGTATAGAAATTGGCTAGTAAGCTAATGAGATGCTGGAGGATGTGCTAGTTTGCTAGGGCTGCCATAGCAAAGTACCACAGACTGGCTGCCTTAAACCAGTGGTCCCCAACCTTTTTGGCACCAGGGACTGGTTTCATGGAAGATAATTTTTCCATGGATGGGGTGTGGAAGTGGGTGGCAGAGCTCTGTGGCCCAGTCACTAACAGGCCACTGACTGGGGTTTGGGGACTGTAGCCTTAAACAATAGAAATTTATTATCTCATAGTATTGGAGGCTGGAATTCTGAGAGCAAGGTGTCAGTAGCATTTCTTCTGAGGCCTCTTTCCTCAGCTTGCAGATGGTCCCCTTCTTCCTGTGTCTTCACCATCTTCCCTCTGTATGTGTCTGTGTCCTAACCTGCTCTCCTTATGAGGTCACCAGCCATGGTGGATTAGGGCCTACCCATATGACCCGTTTTACATTAATTACCTCTTTGAAGGCCCTGTCTGCAAATACAGCCACCTTCTGAGGTTCTGGGGTTAGGACTTCAACATTTGAATTTGAGCAGGGAGGACACAGTTCAGCCCATAAACAGATAGTAAAAGCTTGAATTAGGATGGTTTCTTGGGCATGACAAAGAAGAAATAAATCTAGAGCCACAACCAGAGTAGAGCTGCCAGCTGTGGGGGAGAGTGTGGATGGCAGGAAGGGAGAAGGCTGTGTGTGGAGGCTGCAGGTAGACATTGCTTTTTCTAAAAAGGAGGGAAGAAAAAGGCTAAGGCTAGTGACCCTGGCAAGAACTTTGTTAGCACAGGGCAGAGGTCAACACATTCGTAGGCAAAGGGGAGGAGGCAGGAGACAAGAACAAAACGATGACCAAGGGAAGCGGAGAGGAGGGGCTGACACAGGCAAACTTAATATCACAGCTTTAGATGGGAGCGAGTGTCTTTCCTTTGAGTTAAGATCAGAGAAGATGGAGGGAGTACAGATATAACTGTAAGGCTATATTACGATGTATAAGACAGAAAGCAGGGGGACTCACACCTGGTGGTCTCAATTTTCTTGGTAAAGCTTACAGCAAGATATAGTAGAAGCACCTGGATTAGTTAATAAAACCGACTTTTATGTTTAGGAGTCAGGACACCCTGCCGGTCCCTGTTCTGCTGCGATCCCAAGTACTCCGTGTGAACTCCTTACCTGCTCACCGCTGTCTACAACAGGGGCCCTACTTGTCGCAAATGAGATACACATGTAAAAGCATTTTGCAAACTGTGAAGTCCTCTAAAATTGTTGATTATTATTATTATTTTATTTCTTTATTTATTTTATTTCTTTATTTCTTTATTATTTTATTTCTTTATTTCTTTATTTTATTTCTTTATTATTTTTATTTCTTTTATTTCTTTATTTCTTTGAGTGTGAAGATTACCCACAGCTAAAACAGACCCTTCAGGACCATCCTAGATCCAAATGGATCTTCTCAATCTTCAGATGTCCTAGGGTCCCCTCCTAGGAGCAGATTGGGCTGAAATAGACCTGCTGTGCACATGTGCCAAGCCTGGGCTGTGAGACCCTCTTCCCAAGAGCAGGGCCAGAGGTTACTTTCTACTGTTAGACCTCGAACCTCGTACTTTCGTAGCATAATGTATTACACTAAAGCCTCTTACCAAAGCCTCCAAAGTAATTTGGAGCCCACACAGTGAGAGTTAATGTGAAGCTAGCTGCCAGCACTTCATAAATTACTCCAGTTTCTTGCATTTTTAAATCAGGGTGTCATATTCCCTTTAATTCTAATATATCACTACAGGACACAATGACATTTTAAAATTTTTGAAATATTATAAAAAATATTCATTACTCTTTTGGTACATATCAATGACTCCTATTACTTACAAATTGCCACTATTACTCTCCAATTAATGAACAGGCTGGTTTCCAAAAGTTTGTTTGAAGTCAATTGTTTTTCCCAAGATGAAAATTTTCTATTATAAAAATGGTATACACGTTGGTTAGGTTTCCAGGTCAGCCTACAAAAATATAACCCTAAAAGAGAATAGGACATCACAGCCTTACACCACACTGTCCAAAGCAAGTGTTTCTTGTGCTAGCTTTCTTAGAAGCAGAGAGAAGGTTCTTTCTCAGACACACCACATCTCACTGCCCCCAAAATGTGTCATATGTTTATTTTAAACACTTTCTCTGGGATGAGAGATGCTCATTGACTTAATCCAATCAGAGAATGGGGGAGGTATGATCTGCCCCTGAAACTCCTGGACTGTAGGGGGGAATGGGTCAATACCCGAAAGAAAAGAGAAAGCAAAGGCAGATGAATGCTGAACAGCCAAGTACACAGGTCCCACTCACCATGCCCGTGCTATAGAAAGAAGGAACAGGAAGAAGTGTTTTCTCTCCTTTTCCTTGAGTAAGGCCAGCTTGTAAACCTCCAACTTCCCCATCCTCCTTTCAGCACACCCATTGAGGCCAAAGCAGTCCACATCGAAACTCCCATTTTGAAGACTTGGTGCCAAATAACCCATTCAGGACTCCAGAGTACTCCGTGCCACCTGTTCCTCTGTTCCACTGTCCTTGTCTTAGTCCATTTTGTGTTGCTCTAAAAGAATGCCTGAGCTTGAGTAATTTCTTTTTTTTTTATTTCAACATATTATGGGGGTACAAATGTTAAGGTTACGTATATTGCCCATGCCCCCCCCTCCTCGAGTCAGAGCTTCAAGCGTGACCATCTCCCAGATGTTGCACATCTCACTCATTATGTTTGTATATACCCATCCCCTCCCCACCCTGAGTAATTTCTTATAAAGAAAAATGTTTATTTAGCTCACAGTTTTGCAGGCTGAGGAGTTCAAGGAAGGGCACAGCCCTGGCTATTGGCAAGAATTTTTGAGCTGCACCCCAACATGGCAGCAAAGGTCAAAGGGAAAGCTGAAATATGAAAGAGGGGAAAACCTGAGGGACAGCCAGGCTTTACAATGACCCACCCTCACGGGAGCTGACCTATGCCCTCGGGAGCAAGAGCTCACTACCTGGAGAAGAGCACAGAGCCATTCACGAGAGATCCACCCCACAGCCCAGACACCTCCCAACACTGCCACGCTGGGGATCAAATCGCAGCATGAGCTCTGATGGAGACAAACCATAGCACTACCCACTACTGGTGCTGCGATTTCAGCTGACTTGTAAGAGGAATCGAGTGAGAGACACTAAGGTTAGGTCACTAACTCAGACACCTGCGTTTTTGAAGCAGATGATGATTTCAACCCCCACATTCCAATACATCACAGGTTGGTGAAATTTCAGGCAGCATAAACATAAAGAAATAATAAATGGGGATAAAATGGATATAGAAATGACAAGCAAAGAAACTATGCCTGGATCCAACTGTGCCTGGGCATCTTCTTCTGGACACTTTCCTTATTATTTCCTCTGTGTATGAAACATTCTCTTTCCCCACTTCTGAGTCCACCAACATCCTACTAGCTCTCAGTGGATGCCCAAGAACACAACTAACAGTGGCAGCTGGGGGAGGGAGCAGGGTGGAAGACAGTCCCCTTGCGATGTAAGTTATGGGCTCCTTCCATATTCATTCATCAAGTAAAGGCCACTGCATGGAAGTCTAGATGAATTTCTAGATAGACATATGATAAATGATGGATGTAAACACATCATATATCACCAGCTTTAAGTCACCATTGATTGTAAGATGTACCATTATTTTACATAACTCCAAGAAGGGAAAATAATGCTGCCAATTATAAGAGCCATCAGTTAAATATGTATCCCGATTTCAGTGTTAAAAGTGGAAAAATGCGTGTTTTGAATGGATGAACATTCTATCCCCAAATGGATTATTTTCTAACTAATTTAACTGTCATTTAAAATGAGTAGGTAGGAGTAATCATGCCAGGAAGGTGTCAAAGGAAGCTCTGATTGCAATTCAGAAGTAGCCTTACAGATGAAGACTTGAGAAGCTAGTTTTTCTTTTTTTACCAAAATATCCAAGCAGGTTTTCCTATTCCCAGGTTTTTTAGACTATTCATTTAAAAATCCATTAATAGTTTATGAGCACATGTTATGTTCAAGGCACTGTGATAGGCTCTGTGGAAACAACAGAGAAATATAAATATGGTAACACGGCTTAGGATGTTTATACATTAGCAGAAGTTAGAAGTGAATTTTTGGCTGGGTGTGGTGGCTCATGCCTGTAATCCTAGCACTCTGGGAGGCCGAGGTGGGAGGATTGCTTGAGCTCAGGAGTTCGAGACCAGCCTAAGCGAATGCAAGACCTCGTATCTACTAAAAAAAAATAGAAATTAGCTGGACAACTAAAAATATATAGAAAAAATTAGCTGGGCATGGTGGCTCATGTCTGTAGTCCCAGCTAATAGGGAGGCTGAGGCAGGAGGGTTGCTTGAGCCCAGGAGTTTGAGGTTGCTGTGAGCGAGGCTGGGCAACAGAGTGAGACTCTGTCTCAACAAAAAAGAAGTGGATTTTTAAAGGAAAAGAAGAGATAGTTCCTGAGTTGTTTACCAAGAAAGAATTTACATTAAAATAACATAAGATATCGATAAGCTATACATTGTTCTTTGTATCACCAATTTATGGGCAAGGGAGCTAGTCAGGAATGAAAGGACTTTAAACAACCACCCCCAGATGTGGGTGCTGGGGGTAGCGAGGGGGTGCAGTGGGGAATGAGTGAAGTCCCCTACTCAGGTCTCTCCGGGCCTACATACCTCACAGAGCTCTACTGCTCTGAGCTACTTTTCTTTTCTCAAACTTAAACCACAAATGATTCTCTTTCTAATGGATATCACTTATTGAAAAGAATAAATCATGTGAAAATCTAGACACTACAAAGACCAAGGACAATGAGTTAGTCAAGGTTCTCCAGAGAAACAGAACCAATAGGGTATATGGAAAGAGATAAGAAGAGATTGATCGTGGGAATTGGCTCATGTGGTCATAAAAGCTGAGAAGTCCCGCACCTGCCACCCACGCACTGGAGAACCAGGATCACCAGTGGTGCAATTGGGTCTGACTCCACAGGCCTCAGGATCAGGCAGCAGTGGGGGGAATGGGGTGCTGGTGTAATTATAGGGGTCCAAAGGTCCTGAGGATCAAGAGCTCCAATGTCCAAGAACAAGAAACATGGCTATCCCAGCTCAAGAAAAGAGACAGCAAATCACCCTTTACCATTTTATTCCACTTGGCTGTCTGTGGATTGGACAATGCCCACCCACCTTGGTAAGGGTGGATCTTCTTTCCTCAGTGCGCTGATTCAAATGCTAGGCTCTTCCAGAAACACCTTGGTTACCGAACCCACAAGGGGGTTCTGGCCTAGGTCTGGCTGCTTGTGGCACAGAAAGCCAGTTACTGAAACAGTGAGGATTGCCAAAGGAGAAAGGGAATTTATTACAGATGACATCACCCAGGGGACAGGAGAACTGCCTCAGACCTGTCTCCCCAGCCGAGGGCAGAGGTTTTTACAAGGGGTTCTGGAAGGTGGCTACGTGTGTTGGGGCAAGCTATATTGAAAGCAGTGCATTCAGGAGGTCTTACTCAGAAGTCACAGTTTGGTGATGAATGGTGAGTCTTGGTGTTGTCATCCTGCAAAGAGTCCATTTTTGGGAGACGATTCAAAAGGTAAAAAGATCAGTTAAACAGAAAGATTATAATGTGATCATTGAGTCTTGTTGGCCTGGGAATCTAAAGCGTATGAAAGCTACAGAGAAAACATGTAGGGGATGTCATTTTGTGTTTGTTTGTGGAGCCAATCACATCCTCACTGACACATCCAGAGATAATGTTTTACCAGCTCACTGGGCATCCCTTAACCCAGTCAAGTTGGTACATAAAATTAGCCATAACAGAACGAGAGAAAATGTTCTGTGAATTTTTATCAATGTAAACCATCAGAATGTTTCAGATTTATTTTTATTATTATTATTTTAATGGCTGTATAGTGTTCCATGTTATTGGTACGTTATAGTTCATTCAATCATATCTTTTTCTTTTTCTTTTAGAATATTATGGGAGTACTAATGCTTTGGTTACCTTTATTGCCTTTATACAATTTGAGTCCATGTTGTAAGTGTGCCCATCATCCAGGGAGTGTGCACTGTACCCATTAGTTGTGAATTTACTCAAACTCTCCCCTCCCCTCCCATCTGCTTGATTTCCGCTGAGTTTTATTTCCATATGTGCTGATGGATGAGTTCCAGTTTAACAGTGAGTACATGTGGTGTTTGTTCTTCCAT